AAAGAGTTACATCTATCGAACTCAAGAGTGGGATGACTTCCCCAATGGCCGATGGTAAGCTCTTAGCCTGCAATGGCAGGGAGATGGAGGTGTGGTACAAAAGACTGCTCCACAGTCTGTCTATTAGTGGGTGTCCTGGGTACACTTTGGGCTTGACAAAACAGGTGGCTTCTTAAAGTGGTCCCCAGTTGCTTGGATTTGAATGAGGTGAGGAATGGCATTGAGATGTCTTGTGGTCTCTTAAGTGGATTTTGTCGGGTACTTCTCTTCCTGGGTGGCTGTGTTCCTGCATCACCAAATCCTGTTAATCCTGTGTCTGCTTCCCTTACAGGGGTAACTCCTCCTCCCCAGCCTTTGGGGAACTGAAGGACTATTACCTCTTTTACCTGAAGAGCAAGTCTCCTCGGGAGGAGCTCCTGAAGATGTGGGGAGAAGAGCTGACTGGTGAGGAAAGCGTCTTTGAGGTGTTCACATGTTACATCACTGGAGAACCCAACAAGAATGGGCACAAGGTGAGCGATGGTCAATGTGGCACAGACAATAGCACATGTTTCCTCATGCTCCCGGTACCCCATTGTTCTTCTAAGCAAGAATTGGCACTTCCCTATCCAAAAGGACTTGCTGAGGAAATAGTGGCTAAAGGGAATTCAGCAGCCAGACCTAGGGCTCAACATAAAAGCTTCTATAGCATGACAAGATCAGTACTGATAGAATTCAGCAGTCATTTAGAGTTGCCTCTGGAACCAAAGCTGGGAATTCTCTCCTGAAGCAGGTGTGTGAGACCATTAGGGCACTTCTGAGTTCCTTCAGTATCCAGATGGTAACCAAAGGGTTGTTATATCCATTCTGAGCCATCCTTTCTCCCATGGTAGGTTACGTGTATGCCATGGAATGATGACCCTCTTGCTACAGAAACCAACCTTCTGAAGGAGCAGCTGGAGAAGGTTAACAGACGAGGAATCCTCACCATCAACTCCCAGCCAAACATCAATGGGAAACCATCCACAGACCCCATTGTCGGCTGGGGGCCCAGTGGGGGCTATGTTTTCCAAAAGGTACTAGGGGCTAGGCAGCAAAGAGTTATGACCCAGTTTGGTCTGTGTTAGGTAGGCTTTCACCCACATAATCCTTCTGCCTACTCCTTATCTTAATACCTTCTTACTGAGATGAGGCAAAGCTCCTTTGGTGTCTCAAGGGACAGATTATGTCAGCTGTATGGCTTACCTCATAGTTGTTTTTCCCACCTCAAAACCTCTGTTGAACATTTACAGAGGTTCTTGGTTTTACTCTGAACAAGTAATTACTGTTCAGAGAGGGGTGATGAAGTTCTAGGTACAAGCAGATGCCTGCCCACCAATGTCGAACCACAACAACTTTCCTTGGCTTACAAGCAGCCTTGTCTGCCGAGCCTGCCTCCACTGTCATGCATTTTCAGGCGCTGGAGCCCTGCCACTAATGGCTGCGATTGGAATCTCCCATCAAGGTAAATGCCAGGCAAGTGGCTCGTACTAGAAAACAAAGCAGCCCTGTTCGAAAGGGATCCAAACCGCTAAAGCCATGAGACCAGCAGATGGCAAATGCAGTTATGTTTTCAAAGGGAAAAATTCCCCCGAGGTGAGGGGAAATCCATCATCTCGAACAATAGCCAGGAAATGGGGGGAGGGGAAATGGTTGTTGGGAGCAGCCAAGCACAGAGCAGCAGTAGATGGAGCAAGTACAGAATTAGGCTTTATAAGTACACAGGGAGAATTGGGAACAAAAGATGAAGACAGGGAATGGTGGGGTGCTTGGGAGAGCCCAGCTGTGACCTGGCTTCTGCTCCCACCAGACTGGGCTGCTTCGGCAGGACACTGCTGTTCACAGGGTCCCATGTAGAATGGAGGCCTCTCCCAAGCACTCTGTCTGGCACAGACTGTTTCAGTAGCTGTGCTTACACTGGCTGGAGCCTATTCCAGCCTGCCTGCTCATGGGGGTGCAGGATGGGAAGCTTGTAGCTTCCTGAGCTCACTGCTTCTGGGTTGCTACTTTTGCTCTCACCATTTATCTCCCCTGCCCTTTGCTCAAGCCTCCTCTGTAGTACATGGTTCTGGGAATGGACAGATAAATTTTAGGCTGCCTGGTTTCCATGCAGCCCAGACTTTGTAACTGTCCTCTTGGTTGCCTGTATTTGTCTCAGCCCTGCCATGAATTAAGGCTCTTATTCCCTTTCCCCTTCCCTCCATGTAGGCATACCTGGAGTTCTTCACCTCCAGTGAGATCGTCACAGCATTGCTCAAGGTGCTGAAGAAGTATGAGTTGCGAGTGAACTACCACATTGTCAATGTCAAGGTGGGCTGTTGTTCACAGGACACTTCCTTTTACCACCCTGGGAGAGAGACAGAGATTCACGTATCACTATGAACAAAGTGGGACAAGAAGGCTGATGAAGGGAAGGGAAAGTGAAGCAAGTCAGCTGTGATGTGCAGCGGCTGCCTGATCTCTTACCAAGGAAAGGATAAACGCACTTGTTCCATCTCAATTTCTCCTCCAGCAGTTGCTTCAGAAAGGTTTTCCTTCTTTTGGCAGGGCCAGAATATCACCAATGCTCCAGACCTGCAACCCAATGCTGTCACCTGGGGCATCTTCCCAGGCAGGGAGATCATCCAGCCCACTGTAGTGGACCCTGTAAGCTTCCTCTCCTGGAAGGTGAGTCCTCCCTCCTGCTGGGAACATTGCCGTGGTGCCCTGGGAAGTTCAGAGTGTCTGGTTTGGTTTTAGCCTGTGATACTTCTCAGAGCTGACCACTGTTGTGATGCTGCTTTTCCTGTTTCCTCTATGTAAGGAGAACTTTGCTCCAGCCAAGAGCTCTTCACAGATACCAAGTTCTCTGTAAAGAGAGGCTCTGGCAATAGCTCTCCCCTCTTACACGCACAGGGGCAGCATTGAGCCATCTTACTGCAAACGCGTCCCTCTTTCAGCCCTGGGCGCTTCCCACTGCCTGGAAAGCAGGAGGCTCCCTGCTCCTGGAAACAAGCCACAGGCTAGCCAGTCATGAGTGACACTGCTTGTTCTAAATGAAGTGATATGAAGATGCAGCTTTAACACGTGCATTACACCACTGCCAACATATAATATTTGGTTTTACTCTTGGCAGGATGAGGCCTTTGCACTGTGGATCGAGCAGTGGGCCAAGCTCTATGAAGAGGAGTCACCCTCTCGCATGATCATTCAGTACATTCATGACAACTACTACTTGGTCAACCTGGTGGACAATGACTTCCCACTCGAAAACTGCCTCTGGCAGGTTGTGGATGATACTTTTGAGTTGTTGAACTCTCAGACTCAGCAGTGAAAATTCCTATTCCAGTCCCTTACTTCCTCCTTCCGTCCAGCTGACCGTGGGGAGAGCTGAAGCAGCTCCTGTGCTGATGCAGGAGCACGCACTCCTAAACCCAGTGACCAGGCTAGTTCTGATCCATCCACACTACATGCACTTCTGTCCCCAACACAAAGGCTCCCTGACCCCTTATTACTGAACAATAGCCAGAACTACCCCAGTCTCTGAGCTGAGGCTCTAGCCTGAGCTTGAAGGCCAGCTCTGCAGAATGAAGAGGTGCTCCTCACAGCTATGCTGATTACACGATAACTCCTATGCATTAATGTGATAAAACTCAGTGAGATTCTGGTAACTTTTTCATGTCAGAAATGCTGCCTTGGGGGCAGAAACACTCCTGTCAGCAGTGCCTATGCAACAAAGCTATCTCAGTAGTTACCAGCTGTCAAAAGCAGCTCAAATTTCTTTTACAGTGCACTCCTAGGATGTATTCCTTCATAACTGATTATATCAGGCTCTTCTGCACTCACTCCAGAAGCAGGTTCAAATTTTCTCCTCTCTTTTTTCCTTTTATTGTATTTCCTGTTTTTACTGGAAAAATGTACATTTCACTTCTGGATGAGGCTGAGCAGGAATCACACTATTTCTTAGATTAAGTACAATAAAATACACAAATATAAATGTCTCTTTTACTAAGTCATACTCTTCTAAATAGCAAAGACTCTTGTTTGCAAACTAACCAGCCTGACACAAGGGAAAATTTGAAGAAAACCAGTTTATGGGGCAGTTCTGCCTTCACTTTCAACAAATTCTGTAAGCAGAGTATGGACAAAGCTCCCTCGTGAAGCAGAGAAAGCTTAAATACTATAATTTACCAACAGCAACCAGCTACAACCTTTGGCTTGGTTCTGCAAGGTCACAGGAGCTGCGGTGGTCCTTTTCCAGTGCCTGTAGGGAAAGACAGTCTATCCTTCCTGACCTAATGACTCAACAGCCTTAGGCCCCACAGCATTGCAGTTAGGGTTTAGGGGAGCCATGGAGGGAGCCTGCTTTGTGTACTTAACAACCCTGCAAAGCTACCACAGGCTAGGAAAACAAGGCCTAGGGGCAGCTCCCAGTGGGATTTTGAGATCCCTACCATGCTGTGAGCATCTCTTTCAAACAAGCAAGGAAGAAAAGCCTTTTCCAGATTCTTCAGACCCTCTCGTTACAGCTGTCTGAGACCAGGCTCATATATCCAGGGTAATTACAGGGCATCAATCACAGAAGCAAGTAATGGGAAGGTTGAGGGTCAGACACGCCTGTCTTGCCTCAGCAAAGCTTTTGGTGCTCAGCTGTTCCCAGCAGGTTTCTTCATCCCCAGCCTATTCAGCACAGAAAGGAACCAGCAGGAAGCAGTCAAGAGGCTGGCCACCCACTGAAAGGCTTAATGAAGAGCTGATGGACCCAGACAGGGGGAGGAGGTGGGAGCCATGTGGGAATCCCCCCCAGGGGAAGAGTCAAATCTAAAAATAAAGACCTGAGTTTGCACCTACCAGGGACAATCCAGGCTTTGAAATCAACAGGATGTAGCATTTGCACAGGCAGAATCCTGCTCATCGCTTAGAGATTGATGTATTTGCTTACTGCCCTGCATGACACTAAACTGCTGTCCAGCAAAACCAACATGGAGTAAAGGGAGAGCCTGTAAGGTGGTTTTTGACCTTTAATCAACTCCAGCAAAATCAGGGTCCAGAGGAGAAGGGAATGCAGCCTCACAACAAAGGGGAATAACTTCTCCATTTGTGCCTCTAGGGAGGAAGGATATTAAGTCCTTTAAAAAGGAACTTTCAGAGGTACCATCTTTTCCTGGTTGTCCTTTGGCTATCATGTTTCTGACCTGCAGCGCTGCTTGTACCCCGTGAACAGAGCGTTGGCTTCTTGCTTGTGCAGAAGCAGCTCTTTGTTGTGACAGCCAGCTGTATCCTCCACATGTCCTCCTCAAGTGAGCAGCAGCTGCAGGCAGGCCCCACCATTCAGCAGCCTCCTTTGTCCTGGAGCTGGAATGCTGTTAGCTGGCGCCACCTTCCAAAGGCCTTAAATAAAGTGGACAAATCAAATGCCAAGGTTACCCTTGAAGGATTGCAGCCACCCTCACAGTACCTGTACCTTTTCCTCTAGCAGTGGCTGTGGCAACTGCCTCACCATTCACTCAGAGCCTTCCCCTGTCTCCCCTATGTTCCTGTAACCAGTAAGTGAAGTGCAGCGCACAAATCACTGTGAGAAAAGGAAGACCAATGCCCTCTCTGCCCTTTAATTTCAGTGTCTGCTCTCATCTTGTTAAAGGAGAGCCTAATCCTTCATGGATCTTTGGGAGGCAGGCAGAGGGGCAAACTGGGTTTTTGAGCTCTAAGGCTTTGCCTCCTCACTCAAATTCATAGCAATTTGCCTGCCCCTGGGTGGAAGTCAGCACAGTTCTGCACCAAGGCGAATCTGTTTCTTCCCTGAGTGGGCTCTTGAGAGGCAGGGGATTATTGGATTAACATCTCTGATAACAGTGAGGAAAGGGGCACACATCAGGGAGATTGACTGCTGACACAAAGCTTTGAAAAACACCCAAAGATGAACTCACATAAAGCTGGAAGCTATTTCCCTTTGTTGCAGGCAAGTCCCAGTCCTTGATGTACTCAACTTCCCCCTAAGCAAGTGCTTAGTGCACTGAGATAGAGGGAACACCAGTTGTCTCTTTGGGGTGTCTTTTTGTCCACTGAGGTCCACAGAATTAAAGTAGTCATAAATGCTTACCTGAGATAGGAGGCTCCTGGCTTCCTCCTCCAGGAAGTTCTGCACCACACAGCTTTGCAGATGTCGTCGTCTCCACACTCTCCAGGCCTTTTCTATCAGCCGCTGCTCATCCTGCCAGGAAGAGGCAGTGCACAGATTAACTGCAGGCAAACTTCCTCACATCCTTCTGGTCCTACCTTGCTTCCAGTTGCTTTCCCAGATCCCTCTTGTATGACTTTGCATTGGTGAGGAACAAAGCTGACTACAAACAAAGCTCTTGCTGAACTACTGCCTCCCGCAAGCATTGTGGCTATTAAGTCCCAGTACCCTGGGGAGAGGACAATGCCTCACCAGTGCTTGCTGTATGTGCATCATCTTGTCCCATGGGTGGGACAAAGCACATTCCCAGCCAGAACATGGACCTGTTTCATAGATGGCATGGGCCTGAGAAGAAGGGGAAGCCAAATGACAGCCCTCAGTAGGCTGTGGACACTGGAGGAATGTATCAGGAACACAGATGAGAATACAGATTATACTACTCGCTGGGAACTTGTTGCACAGGCTACAGACAATCTATATAAATCATCCTGTCTCAGTTTCCCATCTGTAAGATGAGGCAGAGCACAGTATGTGGCTACGCCAGTCTGCCATGCTGGCATTTCAAAGAGAAAGACAGAAAAGGTAGCCACAGGATTTCTGGTATTCACTGGTGCTTGTTAAATCCCCACGTCCCACCTCGCAGGATGTATGCCAGGCTGCCGGCAGCACAGGCTTGCCCAGTAACACCCATCACTGCCACCCTGGTAGCAGAACCACTCACCAATACTTGAGCCAACATCACCACCCTGCTGGCTTCTTTCCACTGGTGCCATCCCCTTGCCAGACAAAGCAGTCTCCTGTTACGCTGCCACCGGCGAAGCACCACTGTGTGATGCCACCTCCTCAGATACTTCCTCCTATAGGCACAAGGGGAAAATAAGCTTCATGAGCCCAACTGCCCTACAGAGGGAGCCCTTCCCTGATGGCAGCAAGAAGAGGGAGCCTAGAGCCTTCACTTACCCAAGCCACTTTTCATCCCACTTCTCCAAGTCCACCTCTGCTTTGTTCTCCTGGATCCTTGCAAGCGTAGGAGAGGGTCCTACCACACCAGGTCTCTCTACCAGGTGAGGGAGCAGCAGCCTTTCAGCTCTGTTTTGGTTCCTGTACATCACCAGCCAGCGGTGAATGGCACTGGGAAAAAGCCCAAGAGGGGCAGCAGATGCTGAACCTTCTTCCCTGTCTCTTCTGCTTTCTAGGAAAGAAAAGAGGAATCACAGAGGAGCTAACCTCAGAGACAGAGAGGAAGAGATCAGAGCTACCATCAGCCTTTGATCCTTTGGCTCCTGAACACAGGAGCCATCCACAGTCAGAGTCTGATTGCCATGAGCACCTCCTCCACAGAGCAATCCCAGTAATCTGGCTGGCAAACATTCCCCTCCTCACTCACACTCCCCACATGGACCCATGAAAGAAAGAGAAGAGGGGGCATCTTCTTACTCATGGCCAAAGACAGAGACATCTTCCTGCTCTTCCTAGCACCTATCAGGGTACTGCACTGCCGTGAGCACTGGGAAAAGGCTGCTGCTTTTGTCCAGTAGTTGCAGGCCTGCAAACAGAAAGAACAGAGCTGCAGCCAAGGCTAACACAATGCACACAGACAGCACACATGCAAACTAACATTAGAGATACACTTATGTTCATAACCCTGCAGGTCATTTAATGTGCTAGACCCCAGGCTGGAAACTGCACAGATGAGATCCCAGCAGGAATGACTCAGCCCTTCCAAATCAATCGACCTCTTTGTGGTTTGCTAGCTGTGAGCCCTTTGAAAGAAGCTGCAACTCTGACAGCTCGCTCTGCTCTGCAGGGATAGTGATTATCCCATCTTATCTTTGAGCAGAGAGGAAGGAGTGTTCTTGTCTCTGTGGTCAAAATGTCCCCATCCCTTATTGCTGTGCTCCAGATGGTGGCTGCAATCAGTGCCAGATTATGGTGATGAAGTTGCTTGCACAGTCTGTAAAGAATTTCAAGGCAGGGTCTAAGCAGTCACCACAGGTCAACCTCGTCACTCTATCACAGTGCCTAGTGACTCACTGAAAGAACAGGCAGTAAGAACAACTGTCTCATAGGGACCTTCATCTTTTCTTACTTGTTTTACTGTAGCCACAGATCCTAGGTGCAGAGCTTGCCGTCCTCTCGAGGCCAGTCGCCAGCGGTGACAGGCTTTGCCCTGAGAGGCTTCCTGCCACTTGTGCTTTCTCTGTCCCAGTACCCGCTGTTCAGCTCTCAAGAATTTCACCCTCCACTCAGTAAAGCTGACAGCCAGAACACGGTGCTCTCTGACCCTTCTAAAACAAGAGAGGGCTTCGTGCTGCCTCAGTCTACAAGCAGTGACATGGGCCCAGGCGACCAAGCATCTGAAAAGCAATACAAGCACAGGAAAGTGTCAGATGCCTGAAGTCATATTTCCATATCAGCACTAAACAGCCTCTAGACCAAATTCTACTTTCTCTCCCAACCCTGCAGTGTCATATGTAAGTGGTCAAAGCAAGCAAAAGTGCATTCAACAAGAAAAAGTCTGTTCCTGTTACTCCTTCTGCAATCAACATTTATGTATCTTTCTCCATGTTACTTATTTTTCCCAGTGCCTCAGAAGAAGAAAGAAAGGAATTAGATTGGTCTTTCATTTGAACCTGTGCCAGCAGCTGACCTTTGGGATGATGCCTGAGGAAGGCTTTTTTCTTATGGGATGAGAATAAAACAGCTAAAATCTCCTTTAGCATGGAACCCAACAGACTCCTTGAGTCTTAAATGCAGAACCTGGCACTGAAACTTGTTATCAAGATTCAGATTTTAAGGTTTTATTAGCTGTCACAAACCTGCATACATGAGATGTACAACCAGAATCTGTATGGAGACAATTTTATTCCGAAAATACCAGTGTCTACAGGAGTTACTATTAACTGCACTGTAAATCTGCACCCACAATAATCTCTCTATATCTTGGAGGCTAATGCAGTCTTCCTCTGAAACCCCAGAAGCAAATCTGCTTTAAACTCCTGGCTTATCCTTTTGGTTCCTTGTTCCACTTGGACTTTCATTATGCAAATCATCCCACTGCACCATAGGGCAGAGGTGTAAATATCCTCTGCCTGGCAGAGCTTTGCTGAAGATCAAGAGAATCTATTGCAGGCTATCCTAGCATGAAAAATGCCCCCCTCAGAAGAGACAGGGCTCAGGCTGTACCATATCCAGGTGAGAAATTAGAAGCACTCTCTCATCAAAGGAGGAAGATTAATAGTGGAGACACTCTACAGGAAGGAGGGACATTAAGGACTTCTCTCAAACACAATTCCCACCAGGGTGCCACCTCACAGATTGATTTGCAGAAGAAAATGCAGTTGGGTGGGGTGAGTGCAGAGTCTCACTATCACAGCCACTAAGGTTTTACTGGGATTTTAGTTGCTCTTTCCTCTTTCCTAAACCTGCAATTCAAAAGGCAATTTGCTAGGGCTAAACCTGCACTTCTCATGCCTTAAATTAATCCTTGGCATAAAGAATCTTCTTTGTTCTTATCTTCCTGAATTACCTCAAAGAGAACCACCTCAACAATTCCTGGTCCACTGCAGCTGGACACTTCACTGTGTTTCAGGCAGAAAGTAGCCTCACACAACATAAACCACACACAAAACACGTTTCAATGAGAGAGCTACTGAACAACAGCTAAGAGAGATGTTCTTAATGATGGGCAGCAGACACCTTGCTCTTCAGATTGAATTCTTGTGTTTTCAGCATCTGCACCATAACATAAGCCTCCAAAATATACAACAGCTTCACCTAACTAACCCAAGCTCTAGTTTGAATACACTGGATTCTCTGCTACATAAACAGCTGTTCTCTCAAAAGCTTCCCTCAGTAATGCTTTAAGGGCTGGAAACAAACCTGTGTAGGAGAAGATGTTCCCAAAACAAAGCAGCATATTTCTGCTTCCTCATTTGGCAATACCATGTCTGCAGGACCAACCTCTTCTTCTCCTGACAGCTGTGCTGAGCCCATTGCTGCTGCAGCTCTCTCACAGCACGCTTCCCTGTGAGAGAACACACGAGCTTGCTGAGCTGAGCCCAGTGGTTTTCTTTTCAGCACAAAGAGCAAACACCAAATGGAACCAGACTTTTCTCTTTGAAAAGACTTTTCAATTTATAGGGTTTTTCTCTGCAATGCAGTCAGACCTTCTTTTTTTTCCCTGTCCTTCTCCAAGCAAGGGATCACAAATCACTTCCACTCTCACCGGCAACGCAATTTTCCATCAAAAACTGAGAGTGTCCCTTCCCTGTGTGTAAGTACTTACAGTGTCAGCACTGAAAGTACAAGGAACCCCTTAAGGGACAGGATTAGGACTGTTAAGCAGCCTCAAAAGACAGACCCAGCTCCCATTGAAACAAAGCCCAACTGTTGGGTCTGAGGAGACATGTTCAGGCTTAGAATGCTGCATGAACTCCATTTAATGCCCCAGCTGCTAAAATGCACTGCTTGAACACTCCTTTGGTACTGCAGGTAAAGCAAAATCCACCCCTTTTCCAATCAGCTGCCAAAGGAGCATCTTCCCTAGCATAAAGCAGTGCAAACCAGCAGGGCACGTGTCCTGCTTATAACCACAGGAAGGCAGTGACACAGGCACTGACCCCTGGACTAGTATTGTCACTCCAGAGGATTAGTGCGGAGTTACAACTGGAAATAGGACTTTCTCCATCCCAACCATTCCCACAGCATTCCTCTCCTACGGACACAAGTGCCGCTGGTTAACTCACTTTGCCAGCAGGAACGCCAACGCCACAGAGCATCAGCAGTCATCTGGCGAATGTGACACCTGAATCTCCGGTCAGCCTCCACTTTCTGGACCAGTCTCTTCTTCCAGAGGCTGAAAGCCACCTGGCAGCAATGAACTTCATGTTTTAGAGCTGCTGCTGCTGCTTTTCGGTTCCTATTTTCCACGGTCCAGTGGTGCCAGCTGAGAAAGGCTCTGAGAAAGACAAAGGTCAATGCATCAAATGTAGGAATAGCTCACAGATTCACAGCCTTGTAAATGAAATTTTAACCATAAAGACACATGAGGCCGTTTAGGAAATATATCTGATCTAGTAACATCCTTTCCCCCTTGAATGTGAGGGGAAACAATGAACAGGGCAAGCTGTTGGGAGTAAGGTGTTCTGTCCTGGCTGTGCCAAGCCTGTTGTGCTCTTCAACCGCTACATGAGTATAGAGCAAGGTCAGTTCAGTGGATAGAAAGTTACAAGGGCTTTTTATCAGCAGTGCTGGGCTTGCTCTAATTCATGAGGCATCCCATCAAACCAGAAATGACTGTTCAGATATAGTAATTTTGAAGCAAGAAAACCTACAATAATGGGCTGCAAAACCCTCCCTGAAGACAGAAGAAGATAGCTAGGGGAAGAATTTTCTTAAAAGCAAATGTAGAGCTCTCAAAACAGACAATTTTAGGCAACTCCTGGAAAGCACAATACCTACCGAGACACCTGAGTGAGCCTGCAGTGCTGCTGAGCCTTCACATGTTGCTGAGTCCGAGCTGACCAGACAATGAAGTACCTCTGCAGGAACCACCTCTCTGCTTGGTGGCAGCAACTCTTCACCTCCTTGTCAGAACTGCAGTCCTGTAATGCAGAAAAGTACAAAAAGGCCTTGAACTGCTGGTGTAATACAGTTATTCCATGCAGCTCAGCCCCTTCCCCTTGTGGCTGTGACTTCTATGATTGCCTAACTCCCCGTTGCTAACAGGAGTGTCTAACACACCCCTTTTAAATCCTTGACACCTGGCAGATCCCCAGCTCAGCTGGAAAATGGTAAGGAAGAGCTACCCTGAGAAATGCCTCAACCTCCCAAACCTTCTGTCTGAGAGAGAAGAACAAATACAGAACAGCAGTGAGACCTTCCATATGCTGATACTGAAACCCAAAGGCTCTTCGCTAAATTGGGCTATGCAGAAAACACTTGTACGTTCACATGCACCACACCACTTTTCAGCCTCACCTCTTCCCATGTAGGACTGTTTTGAAGCTGGACGTTATTATCTGGACTCTGCAGTGCCAAAGACTGGAACTGACCTCCTGCAAACCAATTTCTTCCGCAAGACAAGAGACAGGGGAAGAGGGAAAGAAAGAAGAGGATAAAGCATCCAAAAGGATGGTGTAAGGTGACATGAGGTACTATCCAAAAGGAAAGAATTCAACCAGACCAAACAAGGGACCTCTGCTACCAGCATCCCAACTAATCTCCAACTCTAGTTAGTTAGTTCTAAGGATCTCCAACTCACCCAGATTCAGTACTCCATGGAGGAAAGGAGGCCTGCAAGCACAGCTCCCCACCCAGTTCAGCTGGCAGCTCTGCACACTGGTGTGGTTGCAGGAAAGAACTGTAATAGGGTATGTGTGTGACATCCTCAACAGTCAGAACAGAGGAGAAGCCCTGCTGGCTGCTGTCACTATAGCTGTATTCCTGCAGGTATGGAGGGAAGAACATGCTGTGAGGTAAGTGTCCTCGCAGTGGAATCACTCCGTTATTGATTATGGCCATGCCATTTACTACTCTTTTTGGCAAGGATTCAGGGAAATCCAGGATGCATCCAAAGGAACTGCAGGCTAGCAAGTACAGCTCTGGGGTGCAAACAAAGTTATTTCTATACTGAGAAAAGGAGAAATGGGCATATGTCCTTTCTCAAGTGATGAGGCTCTTTGTGCCTCACCCCTTTCACAAACAGCAGCAAATGCACAGGAGAACCTCACTAGCTCAGTGCCTCCCCACATCACTAAATGTGGACTAAACAAGGAAGGCCACAGGCAGAAGTGACTTTACAATTTGATTGCCTTAAAACTCGAGGACCCCAGGCTCAGTGCTCTTCAGGCCTAAATACTAAGCACAGTTTGCTGCTGACAACATCATGTTGAAGCAGAAATTCCCCCCCCCTAAAATCCTCAGACCTCCTCACCTTTTCCAGCGAGCTTTGAGAGGCCAGAGTTGCTGAAGCACTGCTGTCAAAGCCAGATGATGTTGAGAGGTCCTCAGAACACAGCACAGCAAGAGGTTCTTCATAGACAGTCATGTGAGAGTGCTTAGGACTTTGTTCAATTGTCTTCAGTATGTGACACTTTTGGTGCCACAATTTCAGAGCTTTTTGGAGTCTACACTGCTCCAAAGCCTGAGAGAAAGAACTGAGACAGAACATACCGAGACAGCTGTGTGACTAAAAAGGGATACCAGAGAGGGACACTAGCACAGACATGATGGATGACAGATGGTACCAGAGAGTCAAATGGACACTACTAATGAAGGCAGGGTGCCAGGAACTGGCTGTTCTTCACTCACTTGGCTCTGTGATGCTCGCACAGCCTTGCTTTCCACAGCAGATAGACTCTCTGGAGCTTCACCTTTTGGCAGAAGTCATCAAGAGAGTAGCCTGTTTTCTCTGGAAACCATCTCTCTTCATCCCTCTTTGTCACAGTCTTGTCAGCTACTGAGCTTATAACTGGTCCTTAACCAGTTACAGAAAGTGACAAGAGACAACATTTGTCAGAAGGTGTTCCTGAGAAATTCAACCCAGCCCAGCCTTCAAGCTGCTTCTTTTCAGCAAGGTTTAAGACTTTCTGCTACATTTACAAAGCAGAACAACAAATATCCCTGTAGCTTCACTCCACATCCAGACACATCCAGAATAACTAATCCTCTGCCCACTCTAGTTTGCTAATATCATGTATTATCTGAGCCTCTTTACTATTTGGCTGTTTTCATCTGTTTTTCACCATGCAAGAAGAGGACGAAGGAGCCTAAGCACCTCTAACTCTTAGAATCAGCACAGGACTTCAAGCTGCTCACCATAATGCTGCCTCCATCGAAGGAGGAGGAAGTTTGCCATTGCCTGCTTATCACCTTCTCTGACCTGCAGCCTCTGAACCCACTGCTGGAAGTATTTCCTCAGTGATACTGCTCTGAGATGGGCCAGGTTGCACCTGTGAAGTGCCTTCTGCTCCACAGTCTCCTTCCATGCATAGAAGCACCTGAATACCAAGGAAAAAACAAAAGTACATGATAAAACAAGTGTTCAAACTGTGTCTCCTCCTGAGACTGGGTTTGTTCAGGAATGACAGACAGAAGCTGTCACCTTCTGAGGTTCTATTAGTTTCTTGCATTAAAAAGCCCCTGTCATGCTCAGAGCACAGCAGCACAGTGGGTGTTCTTGGGTTTAGTCTTTCAGGACATCAAAGGTCAAGACCACAAAGCTTTGGCAGTGTACAGGAGGGCAACTCATAATGTCTCTGGCCACAGTAGTTCGTTTTCATGTTTCTATCCCTACTTTTACCTTTATTAACTCCTGAAACAAAAGAATTTTACTTTACAGTACACCACCACGACACTGCCTGGGTTGGCTCTGACATTCCTTGGACTTTCACAGTGAAAAACAGCCTTCATCAACTTACCGGGCGACCAAGTTTCTTTGGATGCGAGTTGTCAGCGCTGAGATCTGTTCCTTTTCCAAGCATCGGGAACGCCACACCCAGAAAACGTTTCTTAGCTGCTTCTTTTCCAGCAGAGCACGGGCTTCCAAAAGCCTGGCTTCCTCTTTGCTCAGCAGCTCCTTCTGCAGGCGCCACAGTCTGAAAGCTACTATGTTGCAGGGCAGGAAGAGATTGACAGGAAGAAAGATAACTTAGAAGACTTCAAACTACTTAAGCGTCACACAGCACACATCCCCGGGTTGAACTCCGGCTGTCTGAGAAAGGGCAGTTAAGGGAGAGAGCTCACATTGCTGCAGCAACAGCATCAGCAGCTCAACTGATCCAAGGAAGAAGGCAAAAGGTGCATGATACAGGGAGTGGTCCACACTGCACCATCACAGATACTGGCCCCGCTATTTGCGGGATCAGGTTCTGAGTCAGGTCAAAGCAACAACTAGCCACAAATCAAGAAAGATGGTGAAGCAGTGATTACCTCCAAGCTGTTCCAAGGCTATGGAATGTGTGCTTACCAGCTAGTCGTCTCATATCTCTGATTGCCTGAGCTCCCAAGCAGAACTCATCTCCTCTCTGCCTACGATGAAGCTGTGTCCACAGTTTTCCTTCCACCCTGAAAGGGTCACAAGACACTTTAACATCCACCTGTCCAAAAAGACACTCACAGAACAGAACCCAACTCCTTTCTTCTCCTTGGGTAGCTCTCTTTTTGTCTGGACTTGTTCTTCTGCCTTCGGAATCAGAAGGCACAGCAAAAGGTTTTTCTTTTGACACCTCTAATATCTTGCTAAAGACTGTAGTATTGCCTCACTCCAACCTCATTTATGCATGTACTCAATAAATAGTACAGGAGTTTTTCTGTCAGACACTCAGAAAACACAGTGCAAGGAAGCCCTGCGATAGGATTATTTAGTTCTTAAAACTAAGTTACTAATTCTTGCGGTGCTTATCTGCAGCAAGTACATCCAAGGACCTGGAAACAAGTTTGCCACCACAGGAGAAAAATTTCTCCCTGTTTGTAAACCGCCACTTGTCCAAGACAACAGAAAGAGAAGGCTCTCGGCTTACCTACAAGCCTGCTCAGCCGTCTTTGAGTATCCTTCTGTAAGCTGGTGCTCAGCTGAGGTTGTCATAGTTGCTAATCTTCCTACTTCAAAACCCCCCACTGATGAACTATGGGTAGAATATAGCTCAGGCTGTGGAGCTTGCTTCTTGCTCTCTTTTGCCACAGCTTCCTTCCACTGGAGGAGAAACCACATGATTAGAACAAACTGCAAGCAGTGTCAGGGTCCATGTCACTGAATTTCACACAGGGTAACCCCCTTCCTCCTCCCTATCCAAATAGGATTTCTGCCTTCTCCGACTGCACAACAGAAAACTCATGGCACCGCTCTACTGCCCCAAACCCCGTCCTCACCCTGTAGAAGCTGACAGCTAGCAGAGCTGAGGCATGCCTCTGCTGGGCCTCCTCTAGCTGCACCCTCCTCTGGCGCACAGCCCTCTGCAAAGCACCGAGGCCCTTCTGAAGCAATTGCTGTCTGTAAAGCTGCCTGGCTGCAGCCCTTTTCCAGAGGACTTGTCTTCTCCAGGCTTGGAAACACCTAGCTAGCATTTGTCTGTCACGTAAGTGCTGGAAACTTAAAGAGAAAAGAGAAGTGAGCTCCAGTTAACAGAAAGTTAAACACAACCAGGAGGTGGCAATCAGAGTTCAGCCATCAAGCTGGAAAGAAGTATTTCAAATCAATCTCTCTAAAGAGTGAAAATCCATCTGCCTCACACCAGATTACAATATCACTGTTACTAAATTGGCAGCAATCTCACACACATACACAGGTCACAGATTTGAATCCCATCTCCTGGATATAGCCAGTTCTTCTCTAACTATGCAGTGAGCATGCTGCAATTTGCTGCACTGAGCAGTAGCATACAAGTATCATTTTTCATCATTCATCATACAAGTATCAGCAGCAACCAAGGTTGAATTTAGAAGGTAGAATTTAAAACACAGATTATTTTTTTTGAGCATATTCCACTCTAGCTAATAACCCTTTGAAAAGAAATGAATGCAGACCCGGAGCCAGCCATGGCAGAATAACGCAGGTTAAGTCCTAAACCCAAACGATTCCAGAAGCATGGCTCCTTGTCTACTTCCCAGCAGTTTTCCTCTCCTGTCAACTACCAGTACACTCACACAGAAACACAAAAGGCTTTTCACCTTTGCTCATTCACCTTCAATGACCAGAAGCTGTTCTCTGAGACCTGCAAACAGACAAAAGATAAAAACTCACACGATTATTCACACTACTCTGTTGAAGAATGTTTGTTGCCACAACATCAAATCATTTTGGATGGAGACCAGAAGAGTGCTGCCTCAGGGTAGTGTATTATGCCAGATGCCTTTGACATTGCTCCACCATTGCTCTGTGAAGTATTCCAGACATGGAAAAGCATGACAAAACTGAATCTCAGGGCCACACAGCTACACACAGAGTAAAAACCAGTTTAATTCCTTCTGCACCTAGCTCTAGGGAATACAAACATGTGTTTACATTCCCAAGAACAACCAAGTTAATCTGGTCTTTAGGAAGAAGCATGTGAGACAAAGATGCATATGTTGAAATGGAGTACGACCGTAAGAGAGGAGATTCCAGCCATTCAGTGCCAGAGAAAAGGGTAGGACAAGCATCCCATCACTGTTGTACCTCAACTCTGCACCTCTAGCAAGAAGCAGAAACAAGCACAAGTAGTATCTGTGAACAGGGTTGCTACTACTACACACCAAGTACACTCTCACCTCTCTGGACACAGCTTCCCGTGTCTGGCTCCCTTCTTCAGAGCACCGTGGTTCTTTGGCACTCCTCTCCACAGAAGGTTCTTCAGACTGGTTGAGGTTGGAATCAGCTTCCCAATTCCTCCAGCTCCTTTGCTGAGAGTATTTGTTTCTCCTTCTTTCTCTGCTCACATTCCTACAATCTACGTCAGAATAACCACCAAAGCCTTCTTCAACCTGAATAACGGAAGGGCTGGACTGGCTGCTGCCCACCACAGCCATTCTGGCTGCTTGTGATCTAGAGTCACACACCTCTCCTGACTCTTTGCTGGACTTAATGTGAGGTTTGGAGTTGGTGACTTCTACAGATTTAGTACTAAACTGCTGGACTGGTCTAAACTCTCCAGGAGTGACTCTCACACGCACTTCCCTTGGAGTTCCATACACAGCTACATCAACATTCATCTGAGCCTCCCCCAAATCTGTCTCCAGTGACACCTGCAGACCCTTTGGATAGATACTGGCTGGAAGGTCTCTCCTCCAAGGTACAGCACATGGGGATGCCCCATTAGATGTCTCTTCTCCTTTAAGAACCTTTTCAGGGGAATGACTTTTTGTGTGAACATAAAGACTACCAGTTTCAAGAGCTGGCTTTGCCTGGGACTGGCGTCTGAAAGGAGGGGAGCAATTGCAGGAGGACTGTGCTGCTGTACCCACTAGCCCTCCAGAGCCCACCCCACAAGTGAGGGTTTCTGGCTGGATGTCACCCGAAATGTTGGTCCTCCATGTGTTTGAGTCAATGCATTCATATCTGTGCAATACAGAGACAGGGACTGCATGACTGAAGTCCCTTGTCACTGCATTAAGGCTCCAGTCTTTAGCAAATGGAGCACCCCATTTCAATCTTGCCTGAGTGGCACTGCTCTTTACTCCAGCTCGCTCTCCTGCACTCAGGATACTAGGAGCTGAATCATCAGGAGCAAAGCACAAACTGCCACTGACTGGAGAAGACCTGGGCTCCAGAGGAAGGGAGCCCCATATCCCCATCAAAGCACTTTCTCGCTTAAGCCTCTGGACTGCACAGTACAAGCTAGCAGAAATCTGTGAGGACTGCAAAAGAGTCTGAAGAGACTCCACACTAGATAGCTCAAGCTCCCCCAAGGTCAGGGCTGAACTAGAACAAGCATTCACACTTTCACTTGAGCTCCTTGAGGCAGGACACACCAGTAATTCCTGCCTAAGAAGGGAATCTACAGTACGAGATGATAAATGTGCACTGACCAGTAAAGGGTCCAGAGGATCCATACAAGAAGTAGCAGGAGGCTGAGGCTGTTGTTTTATCACTGGATAGTCACTATTCTTGTTCCTACTTCTAAGCAGTGATGGTGAGCAGTGTGTATGGAGCAGCTGCCAGCTGCCTTTCTTTCTGATGGTGTTGTTGAGGTAAGTCAATACTCTCACTCTTTCTCCCTTCTAAACTGTAAACCTCAAGGTGTGACTGTCTCTGAGGAAGATTCACAGCTGGGAGCAGTGACAAAGCAAGATGGGGAATCCTATGTGCCACACATTTAGAGCTGTGCTGCTGCAGCCTAGGGCAGGGATTATTCTGCTTCTGGAAGCAGGAAATGGAGAACTGACTGGAGTGTCCTGCAGTGGCCAGGAAGGGCAGGAGGGATTAGTCTGTCTCAGACTGGGATCTCTCTTCCCAGCTGACAGAGGTACAGCACGCAGTTCTGCTGGCTGGCTGGGGGTTACACTGAATGCAGCAGCATCAAGCCAGTGATGAGAAATGTCTATTCAACCTGTGGTGCCCATACACAGATCAACAGTCACATTCTTCTGAATGTTGCTTTGCTCTGAAGAAAAATAAGAAGAAATACAAACAAGGAAGCATGCATATTTCTCATCACATCTAGCCTAGTTTGCCAAAGGCTTTAGGTACTTTCCTTATTAATTTCTTGTCTCCAATCCACCAGCCTTAATCCTGAAAGTATTATGGACCCTACTGTCTTCCTGTTTCTCAGCAGACAATCATGTCTAGCAGAGCAGGAATGCCTGAAGGGAACAGACACAGTATGCAACAGACAACCTGGAAAACAAAGACTTCCAGCATTACACATGCGCCTGCAGCCTCAAAAAGAACTTGTTGCTAGTAAAGCTGAATTATTTTGCTACCAAGACAAGGCAGACTGTAGCTGCTTTTCCAGAACACTTTATATCTAACCAGATCTGTGTGACATCAAACAAGAACAGGTATAAAAAGAAAATGTGTTTACAGGAGTCCCCCATGGCAGGTGGTTGGAACTAGATGATCTCAGGGTCCTTTCCAACCCTAACTATTCTATGATTCTAAGTCAGAGCAACGTGGTTCCAGCTGGAGTACAGTGCTTACCCTCTTCATTGACTGGAAATCCTGCTCACATCTCTTCCATAATTGTATTTTCTCCAGGGCTGATAGGAAAGGTAGTGCCTTGACTTAAGGTTCCATTTAACTGCTTAACAAGTGTAAATTTGTTCATGTATCATGCTACAGCCCTGCAAAGCTTCAAACACAGGCCAGTTTCTTCTGTCCACATATCCAGAGAATCTGCATTGTCTCCTAACCTGGAAGAGTTACAACATAGATGGGAGACCTAATTTGCAATCTAGCCACTAAGGCAGATGATTATACATACAACACTCAAGCTGAGCACAGATTCTTAAGTTGCTGCTAACAGGTAAGTGCAATTTAAGGGGACTGCTTTCATTCCCTCAAATTTTAAAAGCAAGCTGTCAATCACTCTGTCATTTGAAGCACCATTCTTTTCCACTCTCTTTTAAAAGGATGAAAATGGTATTGTGAAACACACACACACACCTCTACCATCTTCAAAAAGCCCTAGTCAATCTGAAGAGAAAGACTGCACAGCCTATGAAATCAATGCCCATTGTCTTTTTCAAACACACTCAAATACCAGAGAGGCTCCTGTCAAAATGCACCCTGTTTCCAAACTACGTTTATCTCATTCTCTTCTAAGAAAGCATCTAAGCCTCAGTCATCCATTGCAAACAGCCCACTTGTCCTTATATGCAAACTCTTCCAGTAATCACCACAAACTGGGGAGTAAATTCAATTACTAAAGCAACAGGAGATAGTCATGCGGTGTTGCAATTATCCTTGGGAACTGCCATTACTGCCTTTCATACATCACCGAGGGTACCATGAATGGAAAGATCCCATTATTTTTTCCAAACAAGTAGAAGTTGGCAACTACAGAGTGAACAGACAAAGCGCAGTTGCCTTCTTTAGGGTGCCTATCACTGCATGAAGTATAACCACAAAATACAGTAGACTGGTGTTTCCTAGAAGCATTCCTTGCATCCCAGAAATAGCCAACTAGCAATGCATCACAAAAGGGTATTGTAACGGATTTGAACTACAAAAAGACATGAAACCATCATGTTTATGAGTACTGTTTTGCTCCATGAACACCTGGAACCTGGCACTGGACTACTTTATACTCAAGAACCTAAACATAATCTATTTTCTTGATAATTCATGCCATTGTTTTCAGTTGTCCATTGCAGTTTGTTTGGGCAGGTACCAGGTTCTCAACACATCGCCGTGGTTACTTTAGCTGGTGTTCTTCACCTGGCTCATTCCTCATTTCAGTCTCATTGAGATAAGGAAGAGGCAACATCCTTTAAAAACCACCTTTGTCTGCCTTCCCAAAATTGTCATTCAGGACTTCAGTACAGCCCCTTTTAAGCAGTAATTTGTCTTACTCAAAAGGGAACAAGATCTTATAAAGTGCTTTCTTAAAACTTCTTCCAAGGCCAAAAGAGATACTCAAGCAAGCCGCAGATTTGCAGCATCCATGACCAATGGATTTCATATGAGCTTTGATGTTTCCAGCTGAAACATTTTAACACATGCTTGCTATGTACACTTTGCAGCAATACAGCAACACATTAAAACCTGAAACATACCCAATTAAGCAAACAGAAATTAAGCTGATCAAGGGACTTCTGCCGTTATAGGCAAAAGGAATAGCACAGCTCATGAACAGCAAGTCAAGCTCTTTCAGCCGGATGCTGTTTTAGCATTAGAGTAACAACGACAGACCCATTATAAACACATACATAAGCACTGCACAGATGATGCTCATTTCCCCCACCCCTACAGAGCCATTTCACACTGGAAGTTGGGACTGGTGATTGGCACAAGAACACCTTTCAGCTGCCTTAGAAACAAGGCTTTTCCCCCACTGCCCAGCCTTACACGCCAAACCATCGCATGAGCCTCTCATTGCCACTCAACAGGCACACACACGTAAGAGGTCTTCTCTCCACCACAGAGAGGGCAATTACTGCTCCCGTACCAGCCAGGAACCAGCTGCTGCACTGGGATGCGGTGGTGGGAGCGGGATGTCCATCACCCACAGACCCCAGGCCCTGCTCAGCGTTCCCAATGGCTCCCAGCCCTCCATGGGCACACTCACACCTCTCCTCACGGCCACTTACTCACTCCGATCGCTGGGCCTCGCCAGAGCCTCGGGGACAGGACACCCACCTCCTTGTTACCCGCACCTTTGTCCCCCCCTTCAATGCCCCAAGGCCGGCAGCGAGCTCGCTCCAGCTGGGTCGCCGTAAGCAGCTTATCGGCCGCGATTAGCAACGCCGCCGCTCACCGGGGCTGCAGATGGCGCCGGGAAAGCCGCTCCTCGACCACGGCTCATTAAAGCCGCGTCCTGAGGGCGGCACAGGCGAGGCGGGACCCGCCTGGGAGGGACCGGTTACACACAACCCCCCCCCGCCTTCACCACCACCGGGGGCAGCGCCTCAGGAGAGCGCGGCCTGCTAAGGCCAAGGGCCCGCGGAGGGGCCGGGCCTCACCGCCCGTGGTCCATGTGGGGAGCTGCTGCCTGCTCACCGCCCTGAACCCCGGCCACGCCAGGAGCTGAGCATTTAAGAAACCGAAGGAAAACGCCCTGAGCAGGGCATGGCGCCTGCTGCCCGTCTGCGTGAGGAGCCCCGCGGTGAAGCCAGGCTGCTCCAGGAACTCCCCACAGGCCCGGCTGAAGCAGGTATTGAGCCAAGAGCGTGTCTGGTGTAAGCGCTGCTGAAACAAAACCCCTCCTTCACGGAAGTCAGCAGAGGGGCTTCGTTTTTATCATCACCTTTCCGATTTACTTTACCCAAAAGAGGTGCCTTTGAGCCTAACCTAACTCCTGCCTTGCTCTGCTTCCCTGAGCTCTCAGATGTGCCACAGAAGAGCACACAGCAGGTCAGCTAGGTGGGCAATTTGCACTGGAGAATGGCTGGGAAGGCCTCACTACCTGCAATGCTCTACACAAATAACTGTGCAAATAACCAAAACCCACTGCATTTAAAGCGGTTGTTTGCAATCTGGCCTTCGTGGGTCTAGGGAACAAAGAAACCGAGTGTTTTGGTGTGTTGTACAGGGATCTGTGCCATCACTGCAGTTCTGAAGAGCCGAAAACCACATGAAGGTCTGCCTCCCTATTCTTCCTTCCCTATCTGATCACAAGAGTAGAGTCATTCCTTTTGTCATGCTGTGTTGCATGGCAGCCTGCAAAACGAATGCACAACACTCACCTGGGGACAGTAAACCAGGTTATCACACTTTTGTGCATAAGAGTAGAATACTTAGAGTTTGTCACACCCCATGGAGCTCACCACTGCAGTGTAAGTCAACCCATCTTTTCCTTTCCCAGTCTTCATTTTACTAGCTCACCTTCCCACCCACATACTTGCAAGCAGTACCCTCTACTTGTCCACGTAAAGCTTAGACTAAAAGCTATTGAAGCCCCATAGACTTCCCTCGTAACAACTCTTCCAAACCCTCAGGAAACCTACATTTTCAAATGAGACAGAAGTGACCAGTGTAATTTTTTTTCGTAACACAGAAAAACTGTGTTCATTTTATAGTTTTCTTAGAAAAATGTAACATTTCAAATTCTGTTAAGATAGGCAGCTGAAGGCAAAAGGACATTTCAAGGCACAGAGTATCTATAACCTACATTCAAGAGCCATTTTAAGTATCCTGAAGAACATTCAAATTGCATAAAAGCATCAGTGAATAAAACCCAACATTAGACGCTGGGAGCACAAGCAGCTTTTTATAAGCATTTTATACCAACCCCAGCTTTGTACAAACCACCACAGCTAGCACAGGGAGTTATGGTCATAAATCTTAATGCCGTCAAAACCAGCCCTCAGGAACTCCCAGATGTTTCCTGGGAACTATCTGCATAAAACCAAGCTGAATGGTATTGTTTTAAGGCTCTTAAAAATATAAGCCTTTTAAAGATAACTTGTCCAAGAATATTTTGAGTGGTTCCATTACTTACAATAGAGAGGATGCACAATACAAGACTTGAAAGGCTGCAGAAGGTGCATCCACTCATACATACAGAGGCGGGATTTAGGGGAAGGGAGGAAAGGAGAGTAGTGGGATTACAAAGAGTCACAGTGTTTAACATGACACCTCTGAGTGTCTTCTGGACTTACTGCAGCAACCCATCTGCCTAACCTTCAGAGAGGCAAAAGAAATGAAAACTCAGGTCCTCTGCTGTTTGCTCAGTAGCAAGTCTTGCTTCTTCAGAGCAAACATGGGAAGAGCAGAAGGCTAGACTGGGTGAGGGAGCGTCTGTTCTCAGTTGTGGAGCAGGGCTCAGTACGGATGCTGGGCTATCTTGCTTGAGTCAGCCCACTGTGGAGGGGCATCCTGCTGATCAATTGGCTCATAGGTGCTGCGATCCTGGCCTGCACAGGTGACGCCTGAGTGGAGATGGAAGAGAACAAGCTTGTGAAAAAACGCAAAAGCACAAGAACAGAATCCTCTAGAATAAACCAACAGCTTAGGAGCACATGTCATGTTCTGCTCTGTGATCTCCCTGGCACCTGTGTTCTGTGATCCTCACTGCACAGGCAGGATATGAGAAAACCCATCCTTTCAACAAAAGCAAAATAGCCAAGATGCATTTGAACATGCTTCTTCATTCCCCGAGAACTGCTCTCTTAGTAGCCACATGGCTGTGTGGAAAGCAAGACTTGCAATACTACGTAGCAGCACAAAAAGCTCCTGTAATAGCATCTTTCAGCAAGATCAAGTTTAAGAGATCTAGTGGGGAAATGAACAGAAAAACCAGAAGCAGCAGGAACCATGGCTAGCTGTCAGCGCAGATTTAAGAGCATGAATCATCCATGAACCACTTTATGCCTCAAGTGTGCAACACCATGGCCCTAAATTTGAATTCAGCAGTGCTCCCAATTCCACTATGAATATGTGTCTATGGTATAAGACTGGCACAAAATCGTGTTACTGTCCAGCGGGCAAGCAGGGAAAGATGACAGACAGAGAATGTGCATGGACAGCTCTTTATTTATAGGCCAGGCATCTGCCATGGCTAGAAAGCAGTGTGAATCAAAGGCGGGCACCAAACTATATGAGAGGCTTGTCTGAAGCAGCAAGGATACCGCCAAGCAACAAAACCAGATTTGTGTGGAAAGCAAACAAGACAAGAGAAGACTAGGAAAAATGCAACATTGTTAGGCTCAAAAGGAAAATGCCAGATAGCAGGAAAATGAGAGGAAATGTGTCAACCACATTCAACACAAAACAACAGCCCAGAGTTTGTATGGAAAATCTTGTGAGAAAAGCAATTCAGGCGAGGGTATGAAACTACAATGTGCCAGAATTCCAACCTGTGCCTGAAAAGAGACTTTCAGACAGTATCACGCCTGTGTTGGGATAGTGTGGTTGAAAAGGAGTGCTCCCAAATTCCACCCAAAGGGATGAACTCCCCAGTTTCCATGGGATACAAATGTCAACCCCCAGTTACAAGCACATTGAGCAGCTAATAAAAACTGGCACAAACATGGCCCAGAGCAAGGCAATGTAGTTGACTCGCAGGCCTTATGACCCAGTTCAGACAGCTCTGTCAGGCATTTGCACAAATAAGATGATGGAGAAAACATCCACATTCTGTTTGTAGGGAGATGCACACAGCACACAGTGCCTCAAGCCATGGTTTCCTTCCATGGCCTCTCCTCTTTTCCTCTTTTCACAGGAAGCGTTATGTTTGCTAGCACCAAAGCAGCACAAATGACAGCTTTCAAACACTGTCATGCAGTTATACCACCCCTTTTCCTACACGGCCATCTTAGGGAGGCAAAAAGATAATTGCACCAGGCTGCTGGTTTTGCCAAGGTGAACTCCCACACAGCAAATAATCCCTGGCAGCTGCCCCAGCATGAACTAGCACCAGGCACGCTTGGCAAAGCTGACTGAGACTCAGAACATCCAGCCACAGCCCCTTCTCTCTGGCAAGGCTGCCACACTATCATTAGCAAGTACAACCAGGAGAAAAATGAGTGCCTTCAGGCAAAGTCCCATGAGATGGGCATCAGTCCCATTTTCCAGGTGAGGAAACGGAGGCCCAATAACTAGGACATGTGAGGCCCAGGGAAAGCATGGAGTTAGAAATCCAGCTTGCTTTCCCTCTTATGCATAATCCAGCTAAAGGAAATGCTGCCTCTGTTTTCCCCCAGAAGGAAAAGAAAGGGTTGGCAAAGAGAGAAGGACACCAAGAATCTTCCAACAAGCATGCACAAAGGCAGGAGGAGGAAGAGAGGACAAGCCTCTCAGCTACATTGAATAAGAGAGACTGTAGTCTCTCTTACTCTCTCACAATACCATTGTGGGCAAAATGGATGTCAGATGAGGACTCCATATCTGCAAGGGAAGAGAGGAAGAATGTAAATTTAAGGCCTAAGACACACCAGGACCACAAAATGGGAGAACAGACGTATGAGAGAGAGAAAGAACATGCACTCCCCCCTCCTTGGAAAGGAGGCAGAATCCAGCTGCACAGAGCTCAGGCTGAAGGGTCCAAAGTGCAAGGCAAGTCAGTCCTAACACCAGTGGAGGTGGCCTACACTGACATGGAGGCAGAGGAAGCATCCTACCTAAGTTAAAGGTGTACTCTCCTCCACGCTCCCGATACATTCGATACACCAGGTAGCAGGACAGAGGTTTGAGGAGGAGGCTGAAGATGGCCATGCCTATACTGAATCGCTTTGCATCAGTGAGATAGCTGTTTGGAGGGTAGAAGACAGAGACGTGAATGATGTCTGTGAGGACTGTGAGCAGCAGGCCAGTCAGGAACTGGAAACAAAGAGAGAATGGGACATGAACTGAATAGGGGATTAACCACAAGGAGAAGCAGTTACAGCATCTGTTTCCTGCAAGATCTGTGTTCACACAATCACGCCTTCACCCCAGTATCACACATTACTAACCCTTGACACTGCCCCAGGTAGACAGAGAATCCTCCATGAATGATCTTGTACTTTTCATGCATTTTCTTCCCATCTGTCAGACACCTCAGGATTGTTTAGTTTTGCTTGCCAATCTCTTTAATGTTCAGAGAAGGGTTTTATGAAGCCCTCTAACTCAAGCACATTAAACACTTTGAGTCCTCCTCTGGCTTTACAAGTCACAACAACAGGTAAAAAAGTAAGCATGCCTTACCTCTGAGAAGCAAAATAACTGATAGTGAATGCTTCTCACTATGGTTTGCAGTGCTCATAGATTTATATGCTCTCTTAAAAAAAAAAACCCCAAACTAACCCAAACAGGAAATTTGACTTGTTCACAACTGAAATCATCACGAACTCAAAAAAGCTGTCTCCACCCTCTCCCTGAGCAGCCTGGTGGAGGCACATACCCTCACACTCACCATCAAGATGGCATCAAGGGAGTCTCGCTGCACAATGGCCCAGATCCCCACTGCAAGGACACTGAAATTTCCCCAGGCGTAGGAGGCTGGAAACATGTGGTTCATGCATCCCCTGCCAAACAAGACAAAAAACCCCAGCCCACATTCACAATAAGCCTGCAACTGTTTGTTTTGTATTCACCCCTGTTCCCATACAAACACCTCACTCTGATTTAAGATCTTCTTGCATACAGGCAGGCACAAACAGGGAGTGCCAATTCCTCAAGAATATCCCATTCCCAGGTCGAAAGAATACTCTGTTCTCACCCAGTTACCAATCACTCACCACACCGTGAGCAGCCAGTGTACCAGAATGATGGCCTATGGAAAAAAACAAAACAGAGAAGACGACAGGTCAGCAAGTTGAGAGAACTCGAGATCAACATGAAATGACACTATCTTTTTTCCAAGGGACAGGTAGAAAACTCTGGACCCATGAACCAGTGCAGACAGCTGGCAGAGTAACTGGGACATTGAAAACACAAACCCATTTTTCTCTCTGTTGCTGACTGTTTCCTGTGGTGCTACACTGTAGTCATTCATTCTCGTTGTCATCTCTTTTGACAGTTGATTCAGGGCTCACTTAGTCTTTTCTAAATGGGTTATTGATTTTGGAACTCCAGAAGAGTTTGTACAGAAAGCTGGGCAATCTGTTTCACACTATGCTAGCACAGTTTATACATGACCAATCTGGCATCCCATCACCAGCAAGGCCATGGATAGTTACGCCTGCAGCTCCCAGCAATTTCACTCCAGTCCTCAGTAAATCCTCCTTTTACCTCCTTCCAGTCTCTTCAGAGCAGTTCAACCTCACTGCAATATTAACAGACCTGAAGGCAACTTGTAGGAATCTGAGAATAAAATCCTGCCATAATACACAGCTTTTCTCACTTCAGCAAAGCCACCAAGGCTCAAATGTGAGCAGTGCCCTAAGTAGCAATAAGATGACGCTGTAACAGATTCTGTACTTTGCAAATGTCCTTTATGAGCCTCATCCTTGTGCTCAAGGGGACAAATACAAGGAGAAAGCATCTTACTGTAACAAGCGACACAAGGATTCTCTTCACCAATACTTGACATTTCTGTAACCAAGGAGACATACTCTACATGTTTATTATGACAGCAAATGGGAACAAAAATATACCACTTCCATCTTTTTCCATCCCTATATCCATGTGCTCACTCTTGTTGGCCAATCTCAAAGGGAGATTACTCACACTGACTCTCTAAACATTTGTTAAAATCAGAATATGGAAGACAGCCTCACAAAATAAAGGCCGAAGCCCAGATACATCAGAGGATCCACGGGAATTAGGCATTCTTCCATTTTTTCTGGCTGTGAGAAGGGCTCCAACTGGCACTTATATCGACCCCAGACCCCCACATACTCCCACAAAAAAGAGAAACATAAACTAATTTGGGAAATAAGTAGCGAAAGGCTTAATTATTCAGTGAACGCTGGAAAGCTGCAGGGAGATGGGAGCACTGAGACACTAAAGAAAAAGAAATTTAAATTTAAGATCTACTGACATCCTGCTACATTCATTGACTTAAAACGTCTACCCAGGCTTTAACTTAACGCAAAACTAGTTGCTCAAGAAGAGAGTTAATCACCCACAAAGCTGTGATGGGAGTGAAGCACAGCTGGGAAATCAACAGCAGTGTCACATCTGCTGTGGCTCATGGTGCTCTGCGCAGATGGGTTCGGGGAAGACAGAGCTCTTGCTTCACTGCAGCACCCTGAGCGTTCAGCCAGAGTAGCCTAGACTTTGTCAGACCCTGCTGAAACAGATTTTTATTAATGATTTCTTGCAAGTGCTCATGAAAGCCTACAAAATGCTTCATCACCACCCCCTGCTTTCCCTTCTCCCAAACTGTACCATGGAGACCAGGCAGCAAGTGCTAATCAGTGAAATACAAGATGTTCTGGGATAAGAATGGAGACGTGCAAATAGCATTTACTCAAGAGACTATCGCAACATCAGGGAAATTCTTAATGAGGTGGTATTTAATTGCATGTTACATAGCTGCAAGCCCCCTCCAGGCTCACCAGTTAACATAATGAGGCAGGATGGCTTTTTATTTTAAAGCTGTCTAGATCAATATTGCAGTTATTAAATTATGAAGCATGCTTAGTCACCAGCATTAACTGATAGTATGAGGGACTACTGAAATAAACCCAAGGCATTCCCATCCTGGTTATTAGCCCCATACCTGACAGTTCTTCAGGGCACTATGGAATCAGCTGGTGGGTTTGGCTTCTGCTCTCACACAGAAAATGGAGTGTTAACGAAAAACGTGCTTTAAAGCCACAGTTGCTATGTGAGATTAGCTAGTTTGCAGGCAGTCTCCTGACGAGACAGCAGAAGAATCTAAATCTTTTCCATCTGTTCAAGGCCTTAAGACTGTGCCTAAGAAAAGCACATGATGCAGAACAACATCCATTGCTTCTTTTGGGAAGGTAACTCCTAAGACTTGAACTAGTGCTGAGAGCAGAAAATAAGAAAGGTGGGACCTCTGTCTCCATCTCTTCTGGACAGAAGGATGATCATGTGATTAAAAGCATCCCATTGGAAACTGGGAAGAGCTCAGGGGAATTCCTCGCAAATCTCAGCATGTGATGGGATGGAACTAATTGCCAAGCATAAAAATAGCCTAGGTCTGCCTGGGTCTCATTAGATGGGAAAGTCTTTGGAACAGGAACTCCTTTAAACATGCTTCAGCACAAGGTTGAATTTTGACTAAGTTCAAAATTACATGGTTCCAAATTACAGTTATTTTCTTGTAGTATCCAACTTTTAAAGTTTTATTTACTCTTCTTTTTGGTTTTTTAAGTGAGCTCATCTACTGTGTGACATACTCACCTGAGGATGTGCTAACCAAAACATAGATCTGAGTGGCCACCTGTGAGCATATTCACTATTGAAACAGAGTGATGGTAATGAGTAGCTGGGCAGTGGAACAGGCTATCCAACAGCCTTGTCATGGTTCTATCCTTAGGGATTTTTAAAAGCCAGCTGAATTTTGAGTTGAACTGTTAGATCTAACTTTGAAGTTAGCTTTGCTTTGAGCAGGAGGTTGGATTAGATGACATACAGAGGTCTCTTTTAGTACAAACAATTCTGTGATCCAGGATTTCAAAATGCCCAAGCACAAACTCTTATGTTTCCAGGCACATGGACTGTAGAGCATTGTCCAGGCTTGACCAAACTCAAACTTTGTATTTTAAGGCTCTGCATAGTTATTGTAATAATCCCAAGTGTCAAGCATTCACTGCAAAAACATGGCTATGCTGCTTCCTACATGCTTTGCTGATCGTTACTATTAGAGCTGAGCCAGTAGAGGCTGTTTCATGAGTATGTTCCTCATCCATTCTAGGGCAATACCTGCTACATGGATTTTATAGCTCTTGAGTAGCTCAGAGACACCTCAAGCCTAAGCCATTGCTCCCTCTTGGAACACGCAGAGTTCAGTCATGCAGTTTTCTTGGAGCTGCTTCTATCACGAGGCTCATCTTTTTTTTATCTCACAGAAGCTGTAAGCAGAGCATGCCAACAAATACCAGTGGTGTGTGTTATTTCCAGTCCCTTTCTGAGTGTCTTTCCCACCTTTGCAATACGTTTCAAGGAACCAGACCCTAACTCAGGAACAGTACAAAGATGAAGGTACAGTTATTAACTCCTTGTCCCCAACCTCTTCAGCCAGAGAGCAGTACCATCAGACTTGACAACAAGGAACTTCTCAATGCTGCAAACAGTTTGCCCAAGACAAGCTCACTCTTATCTAGTAAGAGACTTGGGAATTGTTGTCTGAAGCCAGAGAAGAAAGACAACATTTCAGTTGTGCTCTCACAGGTGACTCATTCATTCAACAAGTCTGTGTTTTCCAGCTCCCCTATCTCCACCTCCCCTGGTAGAACATGTATTTCATGCTAGCAAACTTATAAATCAAATGTCCTTATTTCTCACTGTTGTTTTTAGCATGGGGAGGGGGGGAATCAAACCCAGTTTAAAAATTAAGTAGAAGGAAAGATCTTTCAATCTTCCTAATGCCCTGGGAACCACCAAATAGTCCCAACTTGTCAGAACAAAGCACGAGTTCGTTCCCAGATGGTAATGCAATGGCCTTGAAAAATTCATTTGGTTACTTGCCTCTAACAAGGGAAGTTGCTTTTCTTGGTGAACCGGTAAGAGGAGGAAGCATCGTTTTATGAATGCCAAGCTTTTATTTAGCACAGCCCCATGAAAGCCTTCCTCTACAAAGCTGAATTCATAACGGCAGCTGAGATAATGCTGTCCTCCCAGCCAACCTGTAGGCAGCCTGCTCCAAGGCCACAACTTGCAGCTTTACGGATCAATAGCAGAAAAACCTGATGTGATCAGTGGGATTAATTCTCTGGGTTTTAACCAAAGAAAGCACCTGGAACGCGCTGTAACAACCAAGATACGCAAAGGAGTGACGCTGGGAAAAGGCATCTACCCCGACAGATACCAGGGCTCTGAAAACAGGGGAGACAACAAGAAAATAAGAGGAAAAACTCTGGTATCAGGGAAGGCTTCAACATCAAACACCAACATCAAAAGCAAAAAAGGGATGTTAGCATTCTCCAGCTTGTCTGCAAGGATGCGCTTCTTCCCAGAGTGAAAAGCTTAATGTAAGTCCTTTACATTAAGTGCTGTAAGTCCCGTATTTCCCACTTCTCTGGTTACCAGATATTCACCAAAACTTTCACACTGCCCCCAGCTGAATCCCCTCCCAAGAGAGGGCCAATTTCAGTTATCACACCATAACCCCAAATCAGCGGGACCACCTTCCTAAGGTACTTTTCCTAACAAGCACAAACTTTGCCTCCTCGGGATCCGTGCAGCGTCGCCGCTCTGACTGCCCAAGAGCTTTGGTAACAGGTTGGAAACACCAGCCTTGCCTCCTCAGAGGCCTGCACGGCTCCGGACCAGGCCCTCACACAGGTCCCGAACAGGGGAGGGCAAGCTCCGGGAGGCCGCCCCGCGAGGAACCGGAGGGACACCCCCCCCCTCCCGGCGGAGCCCCGAACCGGCTGGCGGCCACGAGGGACAGCCGGAGCGGGCCCTCCCCGCCGGGGAAGCCCGGGAGCGGCTCGGCCCAACGGCCCCTACCTTGAGGTTGACAGCAGGCAGCTCCATGGCAGCGGCCCGCCCGCCCCGTGACTCTGGCGGCGGCGGCGGGGCCGGCTCACGAAGGGCTGGAGCCGGCTCCGGGCCGCCCAGAGGAGGGCGGCGGGGCGGAGGGAGCCGGGACACCGCCCCGCCAGCCCCCTCCGCCGTGGGGCACCGGCACCGGTGGGGCGGGAGGGAAGCGGAGGCCCGGCACCCCCCTCCCTGACCGTGTGTGTGCCCGCTCCGCTGGAGCGCGGCGGGTGTCTTGTGAGACGGCCGTGTTCAGGCATGGAGGCAGGCCGGGTGCTCTGGCTACCCGATGGGTATGGCACAGCACTTGCTTCCAAACCGGAGAGCCCCCACTTGGTTAAAAGTGCGTCTGGATGAGTTGGGTGGCTGCAAACGCTCCGCTGCTTACACACGTGAGTTTGATGTTGTACCTGTACCGTAGTCAGTGCTCAGGAGGGCTAACGCGTGTATAGGAGGGAGATAGAGATGGCTTTTGGGCACACATCAGTACTGTGACAAAAAGGTGAGGAGTGACAAAGAGGTTCTGGATAAACACCAACAAAAAGCAGCTGTGAGGTGCTGGCTGTGCTCAGTTGTGTCACACGATAACCCAGGCAAGTCAAGGTCAGTCTTTGGGGTTGAGCACTCCTCTCTAGCCATGCAGCTGGAATGGCTGGCAGATACCGCTTCCTTTGGCCCTAAAGTTTTCCCTAGAACTCAATGACTGAACTCTCTGACTAAAAGCCTGGGAGAAATCTCAGGTTCTCCATCTCTCATTCTGGAAGAAAGCTCGTTCCATTTCAGAGCTAGGGCAGCTGATGCATCATCACCCCAACCCCACACGGTGCAGCTGTAACTTACCATTTCCTGTCCAGTTCATAATGAGCAGTCTTCTCCCCAGGTGTGGCAAATGAACTAACAGAGCCAAGAAATCAGGATGACCCCTCTCAAATCCTCCCTTCCCTTCCCAGTGTATGCTTTACCTGCAGTGTAAGACTACAGTATTTTACTGGGTCAGTTGCTTGCTTGTCGTCATGTATTCCTGCAGAAAAGATGAGGCCTCTAAGGAAGGAGCCAGGAGTCGGAAGTTCATTGCAGAAGCTGAATGTGGAAATGTATGAGTGAGTCATCCTTCAGTCTCATTTCCAGTCCAAGCAGTGCAGTGCAAGGTTATGCATGAGAATTGTGCATAACCTACACACAGACATTCTTCAACAGGTCACAAATGTAGCTCTATCTAGCCTGTTCTTCACTCTGCCCTGAGTGCTATGAACTGCTAGTATGCAGCACGCTTGAAGATCTCCCAAGGCAAATTATTAAATGCCAAAATAAAACAACCTAGAAAATGCTAACTAGAGGAAGCAGCAGAACAAAACTGACTGGCTGCATGGCTCACAACAGCAGTAGGAAAACAGGCTGCAAAAGTCCCCCCCGTAGGAATGTCTGAATGTGCCACTTTACCAGATGAACGACTGTGCTATAACTCTTCCATTGCCACATGACACATCAGCTGTGACTTCATTTCCATTTGTGTCTTGCAGGGAAGCCCTGCCTCTATTCCCAGAAGTAGTGGCATCAAATGGGATCAATGCTAGTGGGCCCAG